AGCTGCATCTGTCAGGCTTTCATCCTTCCAGTCGTCTTGGTCACGGTTTGCTGCAGGGAGCTCGGAGGGCTTTTCTGCTCAGGCAGTGACACCCATTTCGTAACCTCTCAACAGATACATCTTTCTTCTCAGCATGCATTTAATTAACGTAGCTTGCATGAAAATACCTATTCAGTTACTTAGTGTGCACATCCTCTCTCATCGCTGTTAACCCACTCCCAGTACTGGATGTGAATTAAAGATGCTTTTAGGCATAAAGAGTTGCCACATAGAAAATTAACACCAGCTTTTGTAGACACTGCTTCACTCTGATCAAGCTTCCCTTGGCAACCAGTGCAGTGTAAAAAGATTTTGTTCTTATCAATGTCTTTTTTCTTTTTTGTGCATTTAATGCGTAGGAAGCTATTGCGTTCTCATTTTGAATAGCTTTGGGGGGGGGGAAGAAAGCAGAGCATGAGCCAGAAATTGAGAAACGGACTGATTTGAAGAGATGGAACTGTTTGCTCTTTTCATTTATTCTTGTAGTTGCATGAAAGGAATATATTGTGGGGAAAAAAAGAAAGCCCACGTTTGTTTTGATGTCTTAATGGAGTTTTCTTTCCTCCATACAGCATCCTCTTTATAGCATAGGCTGCATGCATTTAGGAGAGGACTTGACCCAAGGTGGACTTGACCCATGAACTCTGCCTCCAGTCATGTGTCCCACAAGACAGGGCAATGCTGAATTGATGGGTAACTTGGAAAGGAATGCTATCGCAGGCTTTTAATTTTCCCAAGCTCCCTGGAGGGGAGTGTGGCCTGCAGAAGATGGCAAGAGGAAAACTGACTTCTGCAGAAATCTGTTTTTTATTAGCTTGCTGAAGAAGGATGAGGAAAGAGGTGGCTTTTGGAAGGCAGCTGAGACTAGAGGGATATGCAGGGAAACAGGAGGACAATAAGAAGTGTAAAATGCCCAGGAACTAGGATTTTGGTAAGAGCAGGAGTGAAGCCAGCAGGAGAAAAGGCAGAAGTAAAGGAGAGGGGAGCTGCATGGAGTGACCCACTGGTGCTGACTTAGTGAGTCGGATACTTCATGTAAACATGATACTGATGTCCAATTCCTCTTCGTTCCTGCTCCTATATTTAGCTTAGGGAAATTGCTTCTTTTTTATATTTTGCCTTTTTTTTTTCCTCTTGCTGGAGCCAATGGAAACTGCTATGACACTCTCTCCCCTCTGCCCCGCCTTGCAACAACACCAGCTTTTTATCTGCATATATGGTGCACAGTTGTACATACATAAGATAGGGCTGTGCCTTCATGGAGGTTTGGAAAGCTCTGCAAGGAACCTTTCACCGCTTTCTTGTTGGCTGGCCCAAATGGGCTTCCTGATGGAGAGAGCTCAGGTTGTCTGCAAAAACCTTTGACAGTGCTGTGAGTGCTGATTCTGTCCTTTCCTTGTGTTTGAGGTTACCTGAATGTCCCACAAGAAAAAGGAGAACTGGGAGAGATTCCACAGCCGACTTGTTTTTAAAAGCTGCTTCCATCAGGAAGATGTACTTAAAGGTTGTGGGGTGGCATCATAGACCTAGAAATAATACCTTTAAATATGTATGCCATTGCCAGCAGCCTCTGCAGGAACCAGCTCACAAACAAACAGGACGCTTGATCTCAGCAGGTTGATAGATGGTTTGTACAGCAGCAATCCATATAGCAGTGAATAGTTTCTATAAACTTCTTGGAAATCAGAATATACTTGTGGATTAAAAATGTGCTGTGGTCATCAAGCCCTGCCTGCAGCTGCAGAGGAGGAGGTAGGGTTGGTGCTGAAACAAGGATGCTAGCAATGTTGACCTTCTAAACAGCTAGTGTGCACCAGGGTCAGTGTTTCTCTGTGTAGGTTCTATGTGAGGTGCTTTTGGAGCTAGTCTGAGTTTGCATGTTGGAACTAGCATTTAAAAAGGTCTTTTCAGACAAAAGGTGTCTTGGGAACTTGAATTTGTTTTGAAAGCTTTGATTTGGGAAAAGGGTGGGGCAGGTGGAAGAGGTGTCCATTACAGAAGTGCAGGTTTGAAGCACTTTGCTTGGTCTACATCCACAATTGGAAGCTAGGAACAAAATGATCAGTGCTCTCTTCCCTTGTGGCTTTTCCATCCCTCTGGCTGCAAAATGATGAATGCAGTCTTACAAAGGAGCAGACAAAGGTGGAGGAGGATGGATAGATGGGTGTATGCTCTTGTATGCAATTAATTTTCCCTGGTAATTATTTTTATTATTTTAACTGCTGTGAGATTAAAGCCAGCATGAACAGAAAGGAATAGATACTTTGAGTCTCCTGAGGGCTTGGTAGCCTTACTGGACTTGGAGGCAGCATGGAGTAGGTGGGTCAGCGATCTGACTATTCAGTATCTCCATTCCCTTTATTTCACTAGACCAATTTCCTTTGCTAAAACAGAGCACACATTTGGAGTACTAATGGACTCTGAGTCACCTTGTTTGGAGATTTTTGAAGAACGACTTGCTGGCTGTGTGGAGTGGAGGAGCTGCTCTGGGGCCACACTGAGCTGAGCTGTGAACATCTGAGCTGGCAACTGAGGCCACCCTGAACACTCAGAAGAGATTGAAGTGCTAGAAATCGTTAATTTCTGCTTGTTGAGGAGATGTGCTCTCTAGAATGGAGTGAACTAGACACCTTCCCAATCATCTTGAGAGGAAGACAGTTTTCGAAGTCAGGTGCTTCTGGCTCCCAGACAGTATCTGTGTCCTGCTGTAAGATCTGTGGTTTGTGGCCTGCCATCTTGCTGAAGAAGGTGTTCTTGGAGTTGGCTAGAGTCTTCATTGCCCTTGAGTATGGTGGACAGGAGAGCGATAGTGGAAAATCCGCATGGGACAGAATAGCAGCGGGGTAACTTTTGTTGGGTATATTAGCTGTTAGCTTCCAACTCATCGTAACTACGTGCAATCTTATTTCATGGAGTTTATGAGTTAAAATTACCTTTTCGTGGCATAAATGAATGCTTGCTGACCAGGAAGGAGATACGGCGATTTATTCGCCTCTTGCAGATAGAGTTTTTCAATTATTGGTCACACTCAGTGAACTGAGCATAGGAATGTCTCAAGACAGTTAAAAAAAAAAAATCGGTGTTTGTGATGGGTGCTCTGGCACTAGAAGCCATGTGGCTCTTAGAGCGGTTTGTTGATTTGCCTGGCTGTGTGAGCTGGGTGGCTCTTACGTTCCCTGGGGGCTCTGGACTTGGCCAAGGGCTGGGAAGTGGGGAGGAAGCCTGCTGGCAGACAGCCGGCTCCGGAGTGCAGCTGAGCTAAAATTCATGATTGTACGTGGCCAAAGGCTCTGTCATGTAAGTTAATAATGGCAAAGCCCTGGGCCTTCGTGGTTCACTGTGCTATTCTTGGAAATGGTTTGTTTTCTTGCCTTTGGTTTGAAGACCATGGTTTGTTTTTTGCATCTTTTCTGTGTTTCTGACTGTGTTCACTTCTCTGAAGTCCTGTTTTCCTGCAGAGTTCCTCACAATAAAACAGAAATTTAAATTTAAGAACTGCATAGGAAGGTCCTTGCCAGGATTTCATGTCTTTCCTTTATTCTTTCTGTTTTTTTTAAGCTTATTTTGAGCACGATTCATCCTGGCATAACTCAGCAAGATTTTGGTCTATTAACCCTATTCAACTCCACATGATGAGGTTTTTGCTTTGCTTTTCTGATTAGCCGGAGGCTTGGGATTAGATAGATTTTCACATCTGCTAACTTCCTATTTCATATCTCATGATTTGCAAGGCTTAACCTCCCCTGACTTGTTAATGGATCACAAACCACCTGCTTCTTTACACTAATCCCCCAGAAATATATAGCATAGCTTTGACTTGGAACCCTCCATATTGGTTCCCCAGGATAAAAAAGTGCTGAAGGATCAGTCCCGGTCTGAACAAACTTTATTTACACTTTCCCTGCACTTCCTCAAGATCACCTCTCCAGCCATGGCTGTCTGCCCTAAATATCAAGAAAGTTTGGAAGTTTGGTGCCTTTATTGCCTTGGCCTTCTGGGTAGGGCTTCAGTGGAGGAGAGTAGGTGGAATGGCATGGGTGGAAAGGAGTAGTCTAATGGATGGGGGGCATGTCTTGTGAATGGTTGGTGCTTTGGAAGTTGAAGCTTTAGTACCCTCTGATGACGTGGGATTTGAACTAGCAATGTTAGTGGAGTGTGGCAGCTTCAGCCAAGGACTCTGAGCTCAAGGCCTTGGTGCATCAGTCCTCCTTTCTGCTCTCTTTTCCATTTCAAAATTTACACCACTTCTGGCAGGACAGCTCGGTCAGACCAAGGGAAAGTTCAGTGGCCTGGGCTAGGTGAGGAGGTGCCGAACACATCCCAGGTCCCTGCCAACCCTGAGCCATGCCTGCAGTACTGCTAGCCCTGCCTGCCACCAGGGGTGCGGAGAGGGGCCTGGAAGGATGTGGCTGTTGTTCTGGGCAGCACGGTGCCAAGGTGTGCTCTGTCCTGGTTAAAGCCCTGCACACAAGTGTGCCCTGTCCATGTTGAATTGTTGGTGAGGTCTGTAGGTGAGATGCTGCAATGGGTTTCTGTGGTGCCTCAGTTTTTGCTTGTCTGCTTGGCTGCTTTAGGCCAACTCCTTTCCTTCTCTCTCCTGCGCATTTCTCCCCGACTGATGTCTGCAGCCTGGCACGCGTTGCGGGCAAGCCCCAGTGGGCTGGTGACGTGAGCAAAGTCCCCAGCGTGGCAAGGGCTGCTGGCAGCAGAGCAGGGACATCCCACAGCGCTCCCCTGGCACTGCAGCGAGGAGGAGCTCCAGGAGGAGCTGGGACTCTCTGAGAGCTGGCAGCATGTGCTAGCAGAGGGACAGGCGAAACCCACAATTTCTGTTTTAGGGAGATACGGCACAAGGTCATTAGAGCAATTGCTCTTCTACCTGCGGTCGGTTTTCACTTTCTTATATTCACTTAACAGTTGTGCTTTTGGAAGGGGGCAGTAAGGGCTGTGTGTTTTCTGCGATGAGGTAAATGCTGTTGAATATATAGGGTGTTTGTGGAGAGCGTGGAAGGCTCCAGTACCTGGGACTGCCCCAGGCTGGTTATGGTGGGCTGAGGCACCAAGGCAATGTGCTGTGGGGAAGTGGGACCTCTTCTTCTCCCCTCCCCTTTCAATCAGTGACTGTTTTGCTCCCAATGAAGATGATTGTTTCTTACCAGTTTACTGCTGCTTGCTTTTGCAGTTTGTCTTGCTGAGGGATTTCTGCAATGCCCCTGAGCAAGTTGTTTATTCGGATGTGTCCCTTGAGTGAATAGTTTTTGACATCATATGTCTCATTTCTTAACTGGCCAGCCACCTCTTGTGCTGTGCTTAAGAGTTTCTATCCTGCCTGTTGTTATGGGCAAGACACAGAAATTTAGCCCCTCTACCTGCCCCTCCTCTCCCTCAAGAGCTTTTCTGAAAGATCTACTCCTTCCTTCTTCCTGACATTCTTACTCTGGTCTAGGCATGCTGGTCTGGTGCCTGGTACATAGGGTCGCTTTTATGGCAGAAGACATAATCCATTAGGGCTGTTGCACAAACTTTTGTGGTTAACCTTTCTGTCCAGCTTGAGCAATCAGAGACTCAGGGCTCCCGATGCCAGAACGGTAATTATTTATGGTACTAGCACATGGTACTCCTCACCATGGGAGAGACTTGTGATTTCCCTGTGGGCTGCTCTTTTCCTTTGTGATTTCTGGTTAACCCCCACTCAGACTGTGAGATTAGGGGATGAAACAGATTTTTGGGGCTGCCTTTGCTGCTGCTCTGCCAGCAAGGATAGCTCTTTGGTTTTCTTTATACACATGGTCATGTCAACTATCTTTGTTCTTCTATTTCCTCCATCTAGGTGTGTTGTTGTGCTGTTCAACCCAAGAAAAAACAAGCAACACCATATTCTAAATAGTTCCAGGTGAGTGGAGTTTTAAGCTGGGCTTGCTTTCTGTGGGAGATGAATTCAAGATTTTTATGGCTTGAGTGAAGTGCAGGAGCTGCTGTTGCTTCGTGCTAAATCCCCTCAGTGAAAGCTACCTTGGGGAGAGGCTGCCTGCTAGTTTGACTCCAGCTCCTTCTGATGGGAGGTGCTATTGCTGATGAGGGACCACCTCATAAACATTGTGGTTCCGTGAGTAACAGGCATGACATGGAGGAGGTCTTACTAGAACTCCGTAGTATCTGATTTTTTTTTTTTCTCTGCCTAAAACTATAACCTCATTATTGAAGCCAGGACTGGGACATGGTCCTGCGTCTGGCATAAAGGCACATGGATGAATCTCAAGTTCTGGCACTTTTCCAGTTCTGTAGGCATGCTGCTTGAGACTTGGGCAGCAGGAAATCCCCATGGCAAGTGTTAGACCTCTTGTAAAGCAAAACTATTGTGTCAGGCTGTTATGTGTGATTTCAGACTCTTTCCAGTTCATCCCAACCTACTCCCCAGTCATGACGTATTGAAATGAAATCACATGTTGGAAATGTTTCTCAGTGTCATTTTCTTTGTTTTAGGAAAACAATTACAGCACTTGCTTTCTCTCCAGATGGAAAATATTTGGTTACAGGAGAGGTAAGTGTTGAGAGGAGAGGGTGCACCTTATCCATCATGTTTTGAAGCAGGGCAGAGGGTGATAGAAGAAATGAGCCAGTGAGCTGCCTTGACACAGGCAAATCTTTTTCAGTGTTGCATCTCTGGGTGCTCCTGCTGGCAGCTTTGTAGTGTGTTGTCTCTCATGAGCTTGGGGGATGGATCTTCTGGTATGGCGTTTGTGGGCAGAAGGTAGAGTGAAAATAAGTGGAAGGACACAGAAGGACACACAACATGGCTTTACTCTTGCATCAATGAAGAATACTTGGATGGTCCTTAATCTTGGTCTGAGTTTAGCATTGTCCTTTTAGGATTTCAGGAAGTAACTGAAACCAGTAACAGTGTTGTGGAAAAAGTGAAAAGTGCATGTGGAATGGAGCTTTAGGAATAGTGACAGAGGATGCTGGTGCCTGTGGTTTGGCACTGTATGTTTGGCTGGGAGCACCAATTGCTTCCTCCTTCCAAACATGCCCAAGGGGGAGAATAAGGATGAGTGCATTGTGTCTGTTCTACATTAGAAGTTCAAGACATGGGCTGTGTCATGAGGTTGGAATTGCTGGATGTTAGAAATCCACAGAAATGCTGACTGTCCCCCATATGGTTGGTCTCAGTTTGCTCTTGTGTGTGATTAATGATAATTTACCACTAGTCTCAGTGCCTCTGTAAGACTTAGGGGGAGGGAGCATGTGTGAAACAGGTCCCCTCCTGAGCCTCAGCCACAGAGAAGTATGTCACAGCCCTGTGTTGGAGCTGTCAAAACAGAGCCTGTTCGCTCCAGAGGTCCCCAGTGCAGCCACCGTGATGGCAGCTGTCATGTCACTGGGTGGCTCCTAAGCTGGGCCTGAATCCTGGGTGGATCAGGGCAAGGATACAAACAACAGTGTTTTGGGATGGAGGCTACCTTGAAAGAAAGAAAGTAAGCACAAATTTTCCATGGGAACATCAGAGATTTGTTTTTGTTATTAATTTTTAGTGAGAGCATGAGGTGTTATAGCTGTAGTTTGTTTTAGTGCCTCTTTACTCTGGAAGTCTTAATGTAATAAAACCCCTGTATTTTAAAATCATAATACGTATAATATTTTTTTTTTCCTCCCTGGTGTTCGGTTCTGATGATTCTGGTGCTTTTTCCTCTCCTCTTTTCCTCCTCTCTCCTCTCCTCTTTTCCTCCTCTCTCCTCTCCTCTTTTCCTCCTCTCTCCTCTCCTCTTTTCCTCCTCTCTCCTCTCCTCTTTTCCTCCTCTCTCCTCTCCTCTTTTCCTCCTCTCTCCTCTCCTCTTTTCCTCCTCTCTGGTGCTCTATTCTTTTCATGTGGGGTAGGAAAAGTAGTGAAAAATGAAGTGGGTGTTTTCCTTACTGACAACCCAAACTGTTCAGTTTGAAACTTCATCGGGATAAATGGCAAGCTCAGATTTTTTTTAATTTATTTATTTTAAAAAAAGCCTTTCCAGTTATACTTGAAAGCTTTTTTTTTTGCCTTGTTGCAAAACATGTCTCCTCTTGCCCAGTTGTAAGACCATTTCTTTTCGGTATCCTTCCACGTGGCTGACATTCCAGTTATTGCTTGGTGTAGCAGTGTCCCCTGCCGGTGTCAGCCGCCTCGTCTTACTTCAGCCTCTGTCCTGTGGGTGCTCCCATAGGGAAATGCTTTCCGAGTTCACTTTGTGAAGCTCACTTTTAGCAGCCTCATGCTAATTCTGCCTAGGGACACCTTAGTCTTCTGCATGACTGGTTTTTCGGGAAGGGGACCATGGAGGTTAGTCCTTGGCTGAAATACATGTGAAATGTCTTTTGTATATTTCAAATACAGAGGAAAATTTTTTTTTTCTTTTCTTTTATTTTTTCCTCTGCCCCCCTCCTTTTTTTGGAAAATTTTTTTTTTCTTTTCTTTTTTTTTTTCCTCTGCCCCCCTCCTTTTTTTATTTTCCTCCTTTCTCCCAGTGGAGACACAGATTCCTCATCCGTGGGAATCACATAGATTTCACTTTTGCTGAGAATTTTTATAAATGATGGAATATGAATTTAATTTGTTAAGGTCTTGGGGTGTGTGCTAAGGTGCTAGGAAATATACATATGTATATGTATGCATATACGCACACACGTGTGTATGTGTTGAAGTACAGCAGTTGCTTTGAAGAGCAGCTGATTTCAGCTCATTGTAACATCTTGCCAGCCACCTTGAGAGCTGAGCTCTGTCTTGCAGGAGGGAGGACTGTAGCAACTGCAGTAAAATCTGACCATGGCATTTTTCCAGGCCACAAGCAGTTGCATTGCAAAGCTTTTGAACAAGACAGTTAAAACATGCACAATTCAGAGCTTTTAAAGCTTTGACTTCTCCTTGTGATCAGACTTGCCTCTTCCACGCAATCAAGTGACTTACTTAAAACTGATCAGAAAAGGCACCGTTTTACCATGTTGCCATGGATATGTTATCTTGCAAGCTAGTGTTTTGACAGACTTCAATGTGAAAGGATGAGCAGGCTCTTGAGTAGGATTTGCCCATTAGGCACATATTTGGCCAGCATTTCAGCTCATCTTGTGTGCCTTGTTCTATTCTGGTTTAATAACAAATAATTAAAGAAAAGAATAGAATTGTGTGGCAGAAGGTGCTGGATAGGCATTTTTGAAGTCTATGACCTTCTGTTTCTCTGGAGAACAAGTGTAAAACCAGAGGTTCTGTTCCCTCAATGTCTGTTTCTCTGGCACTACCCTGCCTGTACTCTTTCAGGCAGCATGCATCTGTGTGTTACCTTTGTGACAGAAATGATACTGCGAATCTCCCAGAGGCTGCTCTCAAATGTGTGTGATAGTTATCACAACAGTCACGTCATGTTTTTGTATGGCATGACCTGGCTTGAGATCTCAGATGTCCACACTGCATTAGGAGCAGAGGATGTGAGGGCCTTTTGGTTCACTGAGCCCAGAGATATGATCTATTACAATCCTTTTCATAAGCTGGCTGTGAATTACCATTGCAAAGATCAAGCATGTGCATTAAAAGTATTGTTCTAGTCTCTGGCTGCTTGTGAGTAGCATAAGAAAAGGATTGAAGCAGGGGAGATTGTATTAATTCTTTCAGACACCTGTTGAAATGCATATATTCCTTGGGTTGTTAGTCTCAACTTGGGCTTTAAAGAGTTGAAGGAACTGAGGTCTAACCTCTAACCCTATTGTGACTGCACCATCTAGACATCGTTTTCCAAGCCCCCACGTTTGCATGCTCAAATCTGTCATGACTGACCTTAGGGGTTATGTTTGTTATGTTGCCTGTTTTTGTGTCCGCTCTTGTCCCCTCCAGAGTGGACACATGCCAGCAGTGCGGGTATGGGATGTGGCCGAGCGAACCCAGGTGGCTGAGCTCCAGGAGCACAAGTACGGCGTGGCCTGCGTGGCCTTCTCCCCCAGCTCCAAGTACATTGTTTCAGTGGGGTACCAGCATGACATGATTGTCAACGTGTGGTCTTGGAAGGTAAGTTCTCCAGGAGGCTGGGTGGACCACAGGGTATTGCTAAATTATAAAGAGTGAACAGTCTGACTGTAAACTATTTTGATTCCATCTTTTTTTCTGCTTTGTTTTAATACTGTTGTTGTCTTATTCATAGACACAGACAAGTTTGGACATGAGAGAGAACTATGGTCCCTTAGGGAAGGTCTAAGTCACTTCAGTGAAGGGATATTCTCTGTACTTGGAGACATGTGACATCTTGCTGTCCAGTCAGAAAAGCCTAGACTTGGAAACCTTGTCAAAGCCTTGTGCTTTTTTGGAGGCTTATTAAAAACTAATTTATGAGGTTGAAGAAGGAAACTCTCATCAACCAGGGATTTCTTTTGTGGTGTAGTGGATGTTCTTGGCTTATTTTGGTTTGGTTGTGTCAGGGTTTGTGGTTCTCTAATCCCATCCTTAATGACTGAAAAATGGGACGTAGAGAAATCACAGTGGGTGAAAGACAGTGGAGGTCACTCTGCCACTGGGTTAAGGCAGCACTCTGTGGAAACAAAACACGTCTTATCCTCTAGAAAACATTTAAGTGTGTGCTGTTTGTGTATAAGAAAAGAAACATTTATTGTCAGTAGGTTTGGAGTCTTCTGTATTAATAAATGGTAAGCACTTATTCAACTCTTGCTACCTCTTCAGGTGCTGTAAGCCTTTCTAAAAGAGATGCGATTAAAAAAAAACTTTAATGCATCTGTTAAGTCTCACATGATCATAGAACCACAGAACTGTTTGGATTGGAAGGGACCTTAAAGATCATCTAGTTCCACCCCCACTGCCATGGGCAGGTACACCTCCCTCTGGATCAGGCTGCTCAAAGCCTCATCCAACCTGACCTTGAACACTTCCAGAGATGAGGCATCCACAGCTTCTCTGGGCAGCCTCTTCCAGTGTCTCACTGCCCTCACAGTAAAGGATTCCTTCCTAATATCTAATCTAAATCTCCCCTCTTTCAGTTTAAAACCATTACCCCTTGTCCCATCACTACACTCCCTGATAAAGAGTCCCTCCCCATCTTTCCTGTAGGCCCCCTTTAAGTATGGGAAGGCCACTATAAGGAGTCTCCCTGGAGCCTTTTCTTCTCTTGTAGCTTGTAAGTCTGTGCTCATTTAGAGTGTTACTCACTTCATCACATTCCCTGTGCTGTAATTTAAGATCTCACTGTTAGTTCACTCCTGCATGAGCTGAAGTTTGATCTCGCAGTTTTTTTGTATAGCTGAGCTGTGTAGTGATAAAATGTGTGTATATCGTTGTTGAAAATTGAGTGCTCAGCCTTTTGTTTTTTTCTAGTTATGAAAATGAAAGTAGTGACTTGGAGATGGTCATAATGCATGGCATGTGTGGGACTGAGTACAAGTAGATTTATTTTCCCTTGCTTATTCAGGTTTTTCTGTTCACTCATCCTATTTATGATTATGTGCATAAGAGCTTGTGAGGTAAGAACTATCTCACTCTTCTGCACTGAAGAACATGTGCTTTAAGCATACGCTTCAGACTTTGACTATTGGGAGGTCCAGCTAGCCTCTGTTTTGTAGGCTTGGTACAAAAACTAGAGAGACTTTACCTGACCAAAGTCAAAGAAGAATAAGAGACCAAGATGAGTAAACAGATTCTCTGGAATCACAACCCTTCTTCTATCCGCTTTGCTACTGCTTTGATTTCCCTGTTTCTCCTGGCTGAGAGACTTGCTCAGTCTTTGCCTGTGATGGAAAAGAAAACCCTTGTTGTCCATGGGGTCCCCTTGCTTCCCTGAAGAAAGACCACAACAGTGGTACAGATGTTAAGGTCTGCAAGGCCTTTCTCTGTGCTCTGTCTTGAAAGGAATTATGTTAATAGCTGTCCCCCTCACTTTTCTCCCAGTCTGAGTTGGGAGGATCCTCCATGGTGATGATGCAGCAGCCTAGACTCCTTTATTGCTGATTTATTCAGTTCTGTCAGCATGCTGTCCAATGGGGCACTCGGCATGACATGGTTTGTGTGTTGAGGGAATTGCGTTGGGAAGACTGGGAGCAACTAAGTCCCTAAAAAGAGGGTTAAAGGAAACAGAGCGAGAATCAGAAGTGCTGCACCGTTGTCAGCCACTGCAGGCAAAGGGCAAAACTTTTCTCACTTCTACCAATCCCTGGGGAGAAGCAGGGGCTGGAAAACTGAGCGCTTGTATAGTGGACGTGGAGCTCCTGCCATCTGATTGTTCTGCTTGGGCAGTGTCTGATCCTGTTTTCTGTCTCTGCCATGATCTTCCGCCTTTCCCAAACTCTTTGATGTTTTGAGGTGCACATTTGAAGCATAGCAGATTTTGCTTTGTCCCTTCCAATACAGGCATGATCTTTTTATGTTTTGGGTCTTTTGATAAAGCATCATGTCTTTAAAGAGAAGAGAGACTTTACGGAGGAGCCAGTACTGTTTTCCCTGCAGAAAAATACCTGTCCCTCATCTTGAGTGCCTTGCCCTCATTGCTGCCTGGAGCCTGGGAGAGCTCCTCCTTCTGCTGGCCTACCTGTACTTTTGATGTTTAGAAAGGGAAATGGGGTTGCTCTGAGCTCCTGGTGATTGTGAAACCAACATGTTGAGGCTCAGACAGCAAGTTCCTGTAGGCACTAGTGCCTGCTGATTTGTTCTTGATCCCAGTCAATGTGGAAGTAGAATTGAATGTAAATGTGGATTGTGCTATCTGCCAAATCAGTGCTCCTAGCTAATGCTGGGGAGGTTGTATTCAGGGGTGAATGGGGAATAGTGTGGGCCTTGTCTCTTCCCTGCTGCAGCACTTGTACTGGATATGTGCCTGTAATTGAAATAAGTTTTCTTTGCTTCCAAGCGAAAAAATTAAGCTATCTAAACAATTATGTTTCCAGAAAAACATTGTAGTGGCAGCCAACAAAGTCTCAAGTAAAGTGACAGCTGTGTCATTCTCAGAGGACTGCAGTTACTTTGTCACTGCTGGAAATCGACACATCAAGTTTTGGTACCTGGATGACAGCAAAACCTCCAAGGTGAGAGAAAGTGCATCAAGGCCAAGCTGTGAAAAGGCATTTCCATCTTACAGCAGGGTGGGTTTTACCCCAGTGGGACAAAGAGTTGCGGGAAGTGAGAAGTCTTTGATTTTGCTGGGTTTCAAGGATAGGTGTCCACCCCTGGCTTTCAAGTCTCAATCTCCCAATGGGCTGGTAGCACTAAAAGGTGCCAAAAGCTTGTCTTATCCTGTGCTAAGGTAGGGGCATGGCTCCAGGACTTGTACAGCAGCATGCTGCTGCTTTAGTAGTCACATATACTGAAGGACAAAATAAACTAGAGAAGAGCTGCAGTTGTTGAACTTCTTGGAGAACAGAGGGAGAGCTGTTTGATGTTGATATGGGCATCTCAAAAGGTTGTGAATGTTATTTTGAAGCACCAACTAAAATGTTTAAACTTTTAGCTGCTCTATTCTTTTCTGAGGGACAGAATCCATATATGATAATTTTTCTGCATTCTCATGAACAAATATTCCTCCTTCATGCTTGGGCCCTGCTTTGGCATTTGGTATAAATCACAGATTGACTGTGGAAGGATTGTTCTTCCAGTGATTGATCTGATGTCTCTAGGTCATATATTTGGATGTGTAGTTTTGGTGGCACTAATAGTGTTCTGTTCCACTGACGTGCTAGTACTGATGGTCCCAATACACTGTGCAACCAGTGGGCCTGCAGCAAGTACAATGTGTCACTACCTCTCCTTGTAGGCTGTTTGCAGCTCACTCTTTTTAAGGCACTTCAGCACTCAAGGCTTCATGTTCTAAAAAATGTCTATCTGCCTGGAGTGCCTTGCTCTATTTCTAACAAACTGTTTTTTGTTGGTAGGTCAATGCCACAGTCCCTTTGCTAGGTCGCTCAGGATTGCTTGGAGAACTGAGGAACAACTTCTTTGCAGACGTGGCATGTGGAAAGGGCAAAAAAGCTGACAGCACCTTCTGTATCACATCCTCAGGCCTGCTCTGTGAATTCAATGAAAAAAGGCTGCTAGACAAGTGGGTGGAGCTGAGGGTGAGTTTTACATCCTCCTGTCCTGCAATATTTGTGCCTGCTGAAGCAGAGCAGGAGCAGCAAATAATAAAGGCACTCAGGGAGCACAAGCTGACCACCAGCAGTGCAAGTCATTGGGCCACTGCCACTTTGTAACTTACTCTGGAAGGCCAGGCAAAAATAGCATTGCTTCTTGGCAAAAGGGCTTTATTAATCATTAAGGCTCTTTCATTCTCAAGCCTCAGCATTACAGCTACTGCCCTTCTGGAAGAGCAGTGTCCTGATGTAGCTTTGGCAACCCCTGGTTGTCCCTCGTGGCTTGGCCTGGACAAGTACAAGTTTTAGAAGGATTCCAAGTTCTACTTGCTCTGCAATGTCTTACTTGGCTTGTGCACCTCAAATGCAGGTTCCCAGGGTACTAGTTGGTTTGGCTATTCTAAACCACCTGGTTGGCCCATAGTTAAGACTTTGATTACCCTTTTCCTTTCAATTGAATGTAAGGTGCCCACCTGAAAGGATCCAGTGTATTAAAGTCAAGGGAAAAATCTTTCCACGCTTTCACTCAAGTGAAATGCCTCTTCTTTTCTTTCCTTTCCTCTCTAAAATCTGCCTTTCACTCTCGCTCAGAATACAGACAGCTTCACAGTAAGTTGGAAAAAAAGTTTTGCATTGAACTCATCCCCTTATCACCACACTCCATTTTGTACCATTTTCTGCCATTTGTACAGGTCCCAATGGGAGAGGGAAGAAAATCCATTTTTTTCTTTTCTTATCCCCTTGTGACAGGTAACATATTGACTTGCTAGTACAAGGTGAGGTGCTGCTTGCCTGTCAGTGGTACTGAATGTCACAGAGGAACAAAAAACAATGTTCAGAGTAAGACCTGGCTCGAGCAAACGTGTAGCTCTGCTGACCTCCCACCACAGTGGCTGGCAGAGGAACTGGGCTTTTTCCTTAACCGCTTGGAATCTGCAATGGACCTTGGCTGGGAAGCTCTTCAGAAAGGAAAATTGGATTTTTAGGCTTTTCCTTACTCCCAGGGCTCGACTTCACTTCACTTCAGCTCTTCTGACCATGACTCCTTTGTCTGTCAATTTACTATTCAGCCTGTTGTGTGCCTGGTGACCTTTGAAGTGAGAGCATGTTGCTTATTCTCCTTGTATACTGTGTCCTCAGACCACTGTGGCAAACTGCATCTCTGTGAATCATGACTACATCTTCTGTGGCTGCGCTGATGGCACTGTGCGGATTTTTAACCCTCTGAACCTTCACTTTGTCACCACACTGCCGAAACCGCACTTCCTGGGAACAGACATCGCGAGTGTGACTGAGGCCAGGTACCATGGAGAGGGCGGAAGGGAGCAAGGGAGGCTGGTGGGGGTTAGAACTGTTCCCCAGACCTTTGCCATCTGAAATGTGCTCTTTTTATGGATTTAAATTGGCAGCCTGTTGCAGATCTCCCTGAGTTGTTGCAGCCTTGCCTTTCATGGCTGGGCTGCAGCCCAAAGCTGATTGCTGGGCCACACAGCATATCTTACTCCTCATCTCCCTGAGATTGCTTGGGTCTGATGGCCTTTTGACGTTGGTTGCTATGAGAAAGCAGGCAGAGGGCACAGGATGCTGTGGCACACTTCAGTTGTTCCTGTACTATGCCACATCCTTTGCTTACCACTGGTAAGGGCTGAAGACTCTCCTCCGTAGCAGTATAACGATGTTGCTAAGAGATGACCAGGCTAGGCTCTCATGGGCACTTTTTCAAAGGCTCCTTTGCAATCTTTCATAGACCCAAATCTCCTACTATTCTTTGCAGTCTTCTCCCTCAATTTTGGGAATTCTATTGTTTTGTTTTCTTACCTCGCTCCAGTGTCTTCTGTATTGACTCTCTGTTTCTCACCTTCTGAGATGGGTAATGTGATTTTAGTTCTGTCTGCTAGCTTGTGGAGGCTTATGCTAGAGAAAACTCTTCATGTGTTGCTGTTTGCCAGTCCTGTTTGGAGGCTTTCCTGGACTACTTCTGTTGCCCTCTTTCACTTCTGTTACTAGTGGGAAACTACCAGATGGAAACTATCAGTTTCTGGTGGTGCTAAACTAAAACAATTGTACACATAGACCCTTTAAAAATACTCCTTGCTGCTTTCATGCATCAGTCGAGCAGAAATGTTCATGTGATTCTTAAACATGCGTTTGTAGCGCTGATTACAATCTTCCAATCAATTTTTTTTTCAAGAAGCTTGAAAACGCAGGACTCCTTTTATTCCTGTGCATGCCAGAACCTCTCTGTGGGATGCCAGTTGCCCGCAATGAACTGCCCACAACTGTATCAATAACTTGATTTTTCAGTAGGATCTGGGCTGCCCTCAAAGCTTTGCACTTGCAGAAGCAGGGCTCCAATTGTCTGGTGTGCTACATGTGCTTTGGGCCTCATCCCTGCATCTCCATCAGCCCTTTCAGTTACCTCCTCTCAACACCCTGGCACTCTGGCTATAATTGTCTTATTCGATATCATTAGCAGGATTGTGGGATGGCCGTGTTCACCTCAAGTCAAAAGAGCAGCTCCTTCTTTATGTGCATGGCAGCAGCACTTAACAGAGGACCCCTGCAGAAGAGACACAGGGTTCACGTGGCGTGATCCTAATCTAACCTGGGGAAAGAGATGTTCCTTGTTCTGCAGAATTCCTCTGTTTTTAAGTTTGCAGCAGAGAACTTGCCTGTCTAGAAAGGACTGTACCTGTCTGCAGTTGTCCATCTCATAAGCTTCTGCAAGCAGCACCAAGCTGGCCTGTGTGTGGGGTGGGGTTGGAAGAGAAGCATGTCAGACAAGCGGGCGCTAAAATGAATCGTTCATTTGTCCCTTGTGCTGGTGTGCTCCTGTCTTTTGAGTGCAGTACTTACTCTTCTGCTTGGTCCCACACAAGAGCAGTTCCTGCAGTTAGTAGATAAAATATAGTGCCCACCAAAAGATGATTCTCCACCTCCCCTTTGCTTTGAGATTATTTGACTTGGATTGTACCACCTGGTTATGCAGGGGTAAATGGTGATAATGAAGTGTCCTGTTTGGCCCTTCTTTAGGGAAAGTCAATCATGTGTCTGTGGTGAGACTCTGGGTTGGATGGTAAGGAGAATGACTTTTGCCATGGGACTTTCAGGCTTCTTTTGGGACTCTGGTTGTTCAAGAGACAGATCTTCCCAGCCAGCTGCTCTCTCTACCTATATATGCCACATGGTACTGTTCACCTTGCCAGCACCCTGCGGAGAATCTGAGCTCTCATGCTTCACCTCCTTGCTCTGGGTCCAAGAGAGCGCAAGTTAACCAGGCTGTTGTTCTCTCTTTGTACAGTCGTCTTTTCTCTGGTATGGCTGATGCAAAGTATCCAGACACGATTGCTTTGACTTTTGACCCCACCAACCAATGGCTTTCCTGTGTATACAATGACCACAGCCTGTATGTGTGGGATGTCAAGGACCCGAAGAAAGTGGGCAAGGTGTACTCGGCTTTGTACCACTCTTCCTGCGTGTGGAACATAGAGGTATGTTGTCTGCAGACACAAGTGTTGGATTGCCAGTAGCAGCTGAGGAAGTCATCTGAAGAGCTGCCAAATTTGAATGCAAACAACTGCAGAGAGCAAGAATTCACTCAGATTTCCTCCACACTAGTTAGTGTGGTTGCTATGGGGCTTGAGTTGGAGCTGGGAACAGTTCTTTGGCTGCATTGCAATGACTGACTACATATGTTAGATGCAGTGTGTTGCTGGAAAAAAATTCTTGCCATAAAAGGTGAGAGGTGGGACAAGGGGCAGAACTGGACAAAGCTGGATGCAGGGGCACCTTTCACAAAATGCTGAAGAGTTTACTGCTGACCTCAAAAAAAAAAAAATTGTTTGAGATCTGTGGTGAACAAGTGCTTCAAAGTCAAAGGAATGAAACAAATAATAAGATCTCAGCTCTGATACTTGTTAACCTATTTCTAGAGCATCCTGAACTAGCCTCTCAAGTGACTGTCATCTTCCAGTCTGTCTAATTGGCTTTCCCTCAGAGGGACAGAGGGAAGGAAAAGAGGTATTAGGAAACAATCTAATTGTTAATACGTTGAAGTATGTCCAACAGTGCTCAGGAAAGGGGGAAGCGGAAAGAAAGTGAGAAGAGATTGAGGACTTTTCTTGTTATTATTTGTTAATTGCATCTCTCCCTTCTGGATTATAAATGGACAGTAATAGTTGGAAGTTGCAAACAACCGTGCAAGGTGGTTGTTGCATGATCGTTGTTGTGTGGTCTTTGAGGTGGTCTCTTTGAACTATTAGAGACAAAGGATGCTGGCTTGTTTCGTGCTTCTTAAAGGAATATTCTACATTTAGAGAAGCTCAGTGAGCATTTGTTTGAAGTGAATATGAAGCCCTGATCTGCAAACAGGTTTTCATTAGGAGAACTGGCTGACTCTTGCAATTACAAAGTCAGAGAGGACAGCCCTTTTATCTCATTTTGGTTTGAAACTTGCTACGAGTGTCTAGGATGCCAGCTGCCAGGCAGTCTCATTCAGGGGTTGATTTTTCCTGCTCTTAGATGTATCCGGAGGTGAAGGACAACAATCAGTCTTGCCTTCCTCCTGGTTCCTTCATCACCTGCTCCTCTGACAACACCATTCGTCTGTGGAACACCGAGAGCTCCAATATTCACGGCACAGCCCTGCACCGCAACATCCTCAGCAATGTAAGATCCCGGACTTTGATCACCTCTTTGCCCTTAGAGTTGCTCTTTATCATGCACAGTTATTCCCAAGTTAAGGCCCAAACTTCTTCGGACCTCTAAGTCAACATAGGCTTCTCTGTAAACAGAGCACAAGTCTGGTGAAATGTATGAACCTGAAGAAGCATGAAGGGAGTGTCAGGTGGAAAGACAGTTTGTCTGAAATAGTCCTGGGGACTGTTGCTTTTTCCATAAACCACCCAAGGATTCGCCAAGCTTAGTCTCTTCCAAAACGCCTCATGCTATATGCTTCAGTAGAGCTGTTTCTCGTTTTCTCCGTCTCTGTAATGTGTAACCACTTGAAGATTTGTTTGGAAAAGATGCATTAAATGAGGCAGAGATTTGGGAGAATTGAGAAACAGTTTACACTCGCTTCATCTATATAAAAGAGAGGATATTCATACAGAACAATGATTACTTGTGGATGTTTGCTTCTGTTCTCAGTTGTGTTGGAAGATCTGTGGGCACAGCAGCCCTGACCTGCCCGTTTTCAGCAATCTGCTCATGGTGGAAAAAGCTCCTGCTTTTTCTGTCAGAAAGTTCTCAAAAGGCATGGGCTGACTTGGGTGATCCTTAGAAGCCTTTCAGATTCTTGCTGTGCCTTCTACTACATTGTAATCATTAATGCCAGAGCTTGTTGTTTGTGTGGGAGATGCTGTTAGTTTCTAGATGAAGGGGAATCTTTTGCAAAGGGTCATCATGAGACACAGCTGTGAAACTTTCATCCTACAATATGAAAGGTAAGCAGTATTACTGCTAATGAAGTGTATATGTTGGCCAGGAGCCCGATTTCTAAGGCAGATGCTTCACTTTACTATTTTGTAACTATTTAATATTTCTGGGTGTAATGTATCCCCAGGACTTGATGAAGATCATCTATGTAGATGACAACACTCAGGTACTTCTGGATACTGATTACAACTCAGCAGGAAGTGCAGACAAAGCTGATGCACAAGTGATGGATACAAAGGTGGGGATACGCACTGTCTGTGTGAGTCCCAGTGGGGAGCATCTGGCCTCGGGGGACCGGATAGGCACTCTCAGGTAATCCCATAGAGCTTCTTGTGCAGATTGTGGGCTAGGTGGGCATAAGAATCAAAAGCAGGTCTTGCTAATTTGATTAAACATACTGAAATCAGCCATGATGTGTCTTAGGATATATGAGTTGCAGTCTTTGAGGGAAATGCTGAAAGTGGAAGCCCATGACTCTGAGATCCTATGTCTGGAGTACTCCAAGCCTGACACAGGTAAATGCAATTGAGCTTCTTCCCTTTTGCGAATGAATGTAGTGTTGAGCAAGTCAAAATGTCCAGCCGTAGTATGTCAGAACTTTCAGTGGTGAGCTACTCCCGGATTTCACAGCAGGCTTATAGCGTTGGGCCAGTAGAGCTGGACTTCAAAAAAGACTTCTTTTTCATACTTTTCCTTGGAATATTGTAAGTCAAGACTTAAACCTATTCTATCTGTTGTTATAGTGTGAAATCCAGAGGTGTTCCTTTGTGTCCATCCATGCAGTTAGCTACACTATAATGTTTTGTCTCTAAAATGACTTGAGAAGCTGTTTGAAAATAGTGACTGGAAGAGCAAATAACTTTTTAGTAATTGTCTTGCACTCTTTTTAACTTTCTGACAGGCTTAAAGCTCTTAGCCTCAGCCAGTCGGGATAGATTGATTCATGTTTTGGATGCTGGAAAGGACTACAGCCTGCAGCAGACCCTGGATGAACATTCTTCTTCCATCACTGCTGTGAAGTTTGCAGGTAGAGAATCATGGTCTCCCTCCAAAGCTGGATTTGAGCACTGCTATTGTCTCATTGTGGCTGTAAAGTAATTTTAACTGCTTAAATACTGGGTTAGGCCAGGGTGAGGCTGCAGCTGTGTCTTTTGTCATCTTCTGTAGCTGCATTCTAACGGAAGGTGATATTTGATGGTACTTGCCTTCTTTTCCCTTTTGTTTTTTTCTGCTCTTCTTCCTGTCCACTCAATAAACCTCTCCTGATTTGAAGTTCTCAGCATTTCTTTAGAAAGCTATTTCTTTGTGATGATTTACTCCCTCTAACTGATGTCAGATGGCTACACATTGTTCTTAGTGAAGAGAACTGTTGAACAGTCATCTCTCAAAAAAATCACCAAACCCACAAAAAAACATTTTAGGACTAACTAGTCACAAGTAAATTTGTCATTGCAAACCACTGTAAGACTTTGCATTCGTGGTAATGGAGCAAGTTGCATCCTCAGCACTCAATTACTACTGATGTTCAGACATCAGTGTGGTGTATTGTGCTATTGTCAGGGAACAACAAGGGCTGGCTGCCCTGGCTGGGGAAGCCAGTAGCCAAGGGTGACAGGAAGGCAGGCAAAGATAGTGGCCTCACTGGCAATGGGAAATACCCACAGTACCTGAACAAGGTGGAACAGATCAAGTCCAGTCATAGTAACTAGGTCCAGCCAGTAGTCCAGATCACCAGACAAATCCATAGTGGTAAGACAGGTTGGCAACTCAAGGTCAGGATCAGTCTGGAGACAGTGAGCAGGGTCAGCCACAGTTCAGTGACTGCCAGGCAAGCCCATAGCAGCAAGGCAGGTTTGAGTTCAAATCAGGAAGCTGAGTCCATGGGTCAGGGTCAGGATTCAGATCAGTAGGGTACATGGCCAGGCACAGACGTGGCCGCAATGCTGCTGCCGTGTAGCTCAGTTGGGCTTCAAGGATGAGAACCTCAGCTTGAAAGTAGCTCCCAGGTGAAAGGCAGGGACCTTGCTGAAGCTTCATAGCAGAAGCTCCCCAAAGCTGCCATGAGGCTTTTTCAGATTTTTTTCTCAAGGAGCTTCCAAGGCCAGCAGAAGTCTCTCTGACAGCTCTGTCTTATTAGTGAGCTGACCTTGAATGCAGCCAGCTACTTCTTAGGAGGTAGAGGAACTGCACTCAAGGCCCTGGCAGTGAAGGCCTTTATGCTGGTCTGTGAGCTAACTGCAGTCCTGCTCTTAAGTGGGTGCAGTTCAAGTGGACTTGTGTGATATTGGATCCATTTTCCTTACATGGATTTTCATCAGGTGTTGCTTTGCTGAAGGAGCGGCAGTGCTGGAGGAAGAAGGAAAGCCTGACCCTGCAGTAAGAAAGGGCAGCAAGAAAAATGTGACTGACTTTGAGGATTGAGAGTGCCTATTGCCCGTTTTCAGCTCATACTGAGTGTGAACTTGTCATGTTGCTGCAGAGTGCTGTGGCACAGAGAGAATGAGCACGTGAGCATACTATTGGGGGAGAGTGCAGAATTACATCCTCATCTGTTGTGTAAAGCTTCTGTATTAAGGCCTCGTGCACTCTGAGCAGTAACAAATGCTGTCCCTGGGAAGAGGCTTCTGTTTTGCTGCAGCATCCTGCTGCTTAAGTAAGGAGACAGCCTTAGCTAATCAGGACTGGAATAAATGAGCAGTGGTATAAACTGAAACATTTCCTCCAGCTTGTATCTGTGTTTATCTTTTGATCGGCTCCTGCCTTTTTGTTCCAGCCAATGATGGGAAGGTGCGAATGATAAGCTGTGGGGCGGACAAGAGCATCTATTTCCGCACTGCGCAGAAGGTAACTTTACTACAGCGTTTTGTGCACTTTTAAAAATAATCTCTCCACAAAGAAACTGCTTTAAGGAGTGATATCAGAGTTTCTGTGTGAGCTTGTTGCTGTTTCAGCCTGAGTGTCTCCCACTGACTCAAAGCAAGAGATTACATTCAGAGAACCAGTTATGTGAAGCATGCACCTGCTCCCAGCCTGGCCTCTCAGCAAGATGCAAAGTAGGGAGCTGTTAGGATATCTGCTTTTCTTTCACTGACAGGGGTATTGCAAAGAGTGCTGAAAGAGTATGGGCTGGAAAGAGGAGTTCATTGTGCCTCCAGTCCCAGCTGCTCCCAGCAGACCTGGTTAGTGGGAAGGGTTGGTTTGTGCTGGCTGTGTGAGAGGACTCATCTGTATTTAGAAGTTTTTAATAATGGGTTGACTACTTGATTTTGACACAGTCTTTACCCACATGCTTAGACAGGAGAAGGAGTTCAGTTTACCCGAACACATCACATTGTTAGGAAGACCACGCTGTATGACATGGATGTGGACCCCAGCTGGAAATACGCAGCTATTGGATGCCAAGATCGTAACATCAGGTTAGTTTACTTCTTGTCTTGAAAATATTTTTTCAGTCATAAATGAGTTGGCCAAGGCAGTCCCATCTCCATCATCATTCCTCTACGTTCTTTGACACAGCATTTTCAGACAGATCTGAGGCCTCACCTCACACTCTGTGAGGTTGAACTCTGCCTTTCCCCCACTGGTAAAATGCTGTGGATATAGGCAAATGCCCAGAGGACTCCTGGATTCTTGCTGGGTTGCTCTGCAGAGCAAAGCCTTTCTACAGGGAGAGCAAGTGTGCCTTCCTTGGCACATCATTGAGTTGTGGGGCAAGAACTTCTGTGCTGTGGTAATTTTTACTTTTAAAGGTATGTCTAGTGAGAAGCTGTGAGGTCCTGTGGAATAGCTGGGACTGTAGGAACCTAAAATTGAGCTAGATGTGACTGTCTTTGGTCAAGTGGAAACCTTTCTCTGTTCCCTTTTTATCCATTTCTTCAATCTATCTGCTCTACCTTCCAATTAAGAGACTCTCTGTAGTTGTCCATCTCCTCCTGTTATATCTGGGTGAGATACCATTGCTGAATGTAATTTACTTTTGTATTCTAATGTAAATAGTCTTGCTACCTTAACCCTTTCCTTTAGTATGAAGGATCCACAGCAGGGAGGACTGACTGAAGCTTATTAAAAGCCATTCCTAGTATATCACCATTAGCCATTACAAGGCATGGCAAGGTTTTCTCCCTCTCATTTGACCTCTCCTTCAGTGCCATGATGCTATACTTGTTTTTGATTCTTGGCTCAAGAATCAAGTCTTAATTTTAATTCAGATAATCTGCTCGATATCATATCATCCAGTCCTGGACTCCTACATTACTTTTGAGTTTGTTTCTTGAACCGTTTAAATGATTGGTGGTTATAGTTCATAGACGTCATTTCTCTACTTCCTGTGGCTTGGCTCTGTTCCCTATATCTCATGTGGAACAAGGAGCAGAAAGAGAAAAGGATCCTCGTGACAAGAGTCACAGGGCAGTACCTGGGCAAAATGAGCAATGTTGTCTTATGTTGTTCCCCTCAGGGTCTTCAACATAAGCAGTGGGAAGCAGAAGAAGCTTTATAAGGGATCCCAAGGTGAAGATGGCACCCTCATCAAAGTAAGCTGTTTTCTTTCCTTCATCCCTTTTCATTTTTCATTTTTTCCAGCTTTTCTGAATGCAGCTCAGAGTGCTTTTTTTTTTTTTTTAATGTTTGCTCCATACTTTGTCCCCTATCTTGCTGCTGCTTCCTTCTACCTCCATCCTTACAGAATGGTTATGTATTTGCATTTCATCAGGTTAAAACAGGAAAAGAGTCAGTGAATCCTGAATTGGTGTATAACTTCTCTCTCTGCTATTTCTGAAGTGAGGCACAGGCACATGCTTGTAAAAGCAGGTAGAACTGCAGTAATATCTGTCAGGAGAGATTATTCAGTCCATTTACTTTAATACTTTACTTTCTGCTCCAGAGAGCTCATTCTGGCTTTCTTGGCTACTTTTTTTAGGATTTTTAAGGTGGAGATACCTGTTGATCAATGTTTGAGGAATTTTTCGTTGCCAGAGGGCAAATACAAGTGAAAGTCTTTACAAGGTGGTAAAAAGTAGCATCTGCTCTGGAAAGCCCTGACTCTTTCTATCTTGGAGTGCTGGACAAGCCTGGTACTGCTTAGAAAGAGTCTATTCATGTTTCCCACCTGCTGAGTGTATCCAGGCCTTGGGATAGAGTAGCACACCTGCTGCTGCTGGTCTGGGCTTCCTCTGGTACACCAAGTGCATTCAAGATTCAGCATTAAGAGTGATGCCAGCACGTTGGGATGTGGAAGAATTGCATTCTTGTCTTTAAAGGGGGAAGACCTATTGACACAACCAAAATACCTCTCAAGTTAAGCTGCCAAACAAACTTCTTCATTGTATTTGTTGTCACCGATAATTTTTCTACTTTTAAAATCAAATATTTCTATTCAGCTGCACAGGCCAGAAATATTATTGGTGGGTGTAAATAGCTGGGTAAAAAGGGAGAGGAGAGCAAGAAAATTTCTTCAGTGTCACCTCTTCAGTTTTTCAGAATAGGTTATAACTGGTTTTTTATTTATATAT